CGGGGCTCCAGTGTGACCCGCCGCCGGCTGGGAGTGGCGGCCAGAGCTCGAGGGGCGTCACCGACGGCTGATGAGAAGAAGGCGGGGTTAACTTGAGCGACGTCACCGTTACCCAATGACAAAGGAGAGCGGCAGGACGCGCGTTCCCGCTGGCCAATAGCAGTCTGGGGGCGGGTGAGGGAGGCGGGCGGTTCCCTGAGGCGGAGCCGGAGGGGTGGGCCGGGCGCCCCCTCAGCTGAGCGCGGGCCCCGCGGACCGGGGGATGCGCCGGGATCTGCGGTAGGTGATGGACAACAAGGGGGGCTTCCGCCTCAGGGACCTCCGGCACGGCCGGGGAAACGGGGCCTGGCGGGACAAGGCCGTGAGGCCGAGGGAGGGGCCGAGTTTGTGAATACAAAGCTGTGTTTAAATGGGGTTTTAAATCGGGCCTACCGCAGTATTTCTTCCGAAGTGTTAAATTACCCATACGATCGGAATAGGCTCTAAAACGGTATTTAATCGAACTGGGGTTCTGTTTAGTATGGTTTCACCATAATACGAATTTCAGGACTTTTTTAGGCGATGTTAAAGGTTTAAATATAAATGTATAGGTTCATGTTTTCATTACAACTGAGCTGAGTGTCATATGTAAGTTGCCCTCCTCCCTGTTTTTTTCTTCTAAGCAGGACAGAATTAGCTATCATAATATCCTCGTTATGCAGATCATCCCACCAAGGTCAGTGATATTCCTTGGATAGCTTCTCCTCACTGAAAATTTTCACTCCCTAATTATGTAGGTCCTATAATAGGAGTCAAGAGCTTTTTTATTTTCACACTGACATCCCATCAGTGTTCTCACAGAAGAGCCAGTTCAGACCTGTAGTACAGCTGCATCCTTTTCAATGTTGTTGGGATAAGTGGGCTTTAGCAAAGAATCTGCCCATCATCTTTCTTTCATCATGAGATAATTAAATGCTCCATGTAATCAAACCTTTCATTGTTATGTTACTCACTGTTAGCTCAGCCTTCAAAATCTTGTAGCTTTCTTTACTTGGACTTTAAGATCTCAAAAGTACACTTGGATTTTCTTGAGTTTTCATCTAAAAATGCCTCTGAAAGGACTGGAGCCTTGCAGTCCTTCCCAATCTGGCAGTAATGTCTGTTAGGTCAGAGAAAAGCAGTGTAACTTCTTCCCATGCTGAATTTTCTGCCTGTTTTTTCCAGTTGTTGCAAAGTGGTTCTTAGCAAATGGAAAGTATTTTCAAGTGAGCAACCTTCAAATTGAGTAGCCTCATGTAATACATCTTCAGTAGCCTTGTGTTTCCTCCACAGACAAGTGATAGCACCTTTGAGTATCTGATAACCTGATACTTCTAAGAGTGTTGAGTTTCATTTTTCCTTTCAGACCCAAGTTTCCAGTCTGTTTCTGTTTGGTTTCTGCTTTCTCCAGTTTGCTAATAAGACAGTATCTTTCTTGTAGTGTTTGTAGCATTGATTTCTAGAACTGGTTTTGAAAAACATTCTTGTGAAAAGAATGTTGAAACTTCAGATCATGACTCTTCATTTTAGCCACAGCCTTGCACTTGAGAATATTGGAAGTGTTTTCAAAATACTGTGTAAATGCTTTAGGCCAGACATAGTAATTCTATAATCCCCTGCCAGCTGGTTTAGGTTTGTTTCTGTAACAAGAGCAAAATAATGCTATCTAAACCTTCTCTGTTTTTTGTTTTTGTTTTTTTTTGGCCCCACAACTCCTGAGTGCTGCTTCTGAGCTTCTCCTCTTCCCTAAGGAAGGGAAAGGTGGGGGGTCTTGGTTCCACCTTGTCAGGAACTGGCTTTCACCAGACCCTTTGGTGATCTGAGCAGAACTGAGATTGTGAAAAGCAAAACTACACAATCCTACCTTAATTTTTTTTTTTTTTTTTTTTTTTAGTTCAGCTTAGGGAACTGGCCTGCTTTGGATACAAGTGTGTCAACCCCCAAAACAAAGAGGGGATGCACTGACTGCAACTCCAATTTAGATTATTTTGAGCAAAACTGGATCTTCTTACAAGAAATCTCACTGCTATCCACTAAATCAAATCCATTCAAACATCAAACCCAGATTGAACAAAACAGCAGATCTGTTGAACTGTATATCAAAAGATGCAGATGTAAACTGCAGGATCATTTCAGTGATGTACAGAATTTTTATCTCCTCACTGTAAGGTAGCAGGTCATCTCATAAACAGTTGAGACAGAAGCTTTTACTTCTTTCCAGTAGCCAATCTTATCTGAGTACAGAATTTGTTCAACTTGCGAATCTGGAAAAAAATATCCCAGTTAAAAACATAGCAGTAGATTTCTGCTTGTTGGGTGAGTTCAGCAGCCATAATCAGGTGATGTTGTGTGCATTGGTAATAACTCAGAGGAAGCAGCAGCAGCAGCTGCTGGGCACAGGCACTGGGGACACAGAGGGAAAGCAGCTCCTGTCCTTCCCTCAGCAGCTGGTGCTGGAGGTTCAATGCTTCAGAACACAACATCACACTTTCAGTAATTCAAATATTATTGCAGTCTGGAGCAAATCAAAGCTCATTTTCTTATTTCAGATGAGAGACTATTAGTGTTATAAAGAGAATTATTAAAAATTTTAACTTAATTTTTTTACATAATTGAAATACCTATTTCAGCATCATTTCACTGGTAAATATTCATTTTTGTAGCACGAAATAATAGAGGAAGATCACAGTCCTTCACACTTCAGTTTTTTACACTTGTAGAGAAAGGCTTTTGGCAGATGCAGTGGTAAAAGCTTTCCAGTTAGGAATATAAAAACTTAACTTTCATGACTCTAGTGGCAGATGCATTTGTCTTGTTTTTCTTTCGTCATGACTACAGAGAAATTTAAATATCCTATCCAGACAATAAACCTGTCAGCCAGTGTCTGAATACTTGAGATACCTGCCAAAAAGTAAGCATTATCTGTAGCTTTTAGTAATTTCAAGATTGCTGGCTGACAGAAAGTTGGGCAGTGCTCGCTGGCTCAGTTTGAACCCAGGTCACTTCAGCTGCAGCTCTACAAACTGCAGGATTTCTCCGGGGGTTTTTGTGCTCCTTTGTGCTGAAACACATTTTACTCCCTACAGTATTATTTTGTTATTATTTTATTACAGAGAGATTTTGTTACAGAGAGAGAATTGTTACATTTTGTTTTCAAGTGTTAGCTGTGAGTGCTGGTGGAAAATGGTTCTAAACATATCCTTAGCATTCAAAAATCCTAAATGAGTCTGACAGCTTATTTAGGATTAAAGTACAGTTTGTTTCACAGAACAAATTTAGATTAAGGCAGTTACACAGCTGACTTAAGGCACTCCAAGGGAATGGTGGACTGGAACAAACACTGTTCAGCTGAGCGTGGTAGTTATGAAAGTGCTAGGAAGCAGTATGTGGGTGAGTGGGAAAGCAGGAGCAAGGACTTGGTCTCCTTTATGGAATATGCCTAATGGTGGTGTAGTGCCATCTTTTGATGCCTTCCCTCCCCCTTTTGTTTTGTTAGGTTGTTGCTGACAGCGAAGGACTTCCTCTCAAAGCTGTTTAAATGAGAATGTCCCTGGCGCAAAGAGTGCTGCTGACATGGCTTTTTACATTACTCTTCCTGATCATGCTGGTGCTGAAGTTGGATGAGAAAGCACCGTGGAACTGGTTCCTCATTTTTATTCCAGTGTGGATATTTGATACAATTCTTCTAGTTATGTTAATTGTAAAAATGGCTGGACGTTGCAAGTCTGGCTTTGACCCTCGCAATGGCTCCCAGAACATGAAGAAGAAAGTCTGGTACCTCATTGCCATGCTGCTGAAATTGGCCTTCTGCCTCGCCCTGTGCGCGAAGCTGCAGCGATTCACCACCATGAAACTGGCCTATGTGTTCATCCCGCTCTGGGCCCTGCTGATTGGGGGCATGGTTGAACTTGGATATAATATCTTCTATGTACGGAGAGACTAAGCTTTGCCAGGCGGTTTCCAGTGCCAAGACTGGCACCAGATTACTAGATTACCACCATTTTGCCACAAATTTATCTGCAGACTAGAAAGCCAAATGAGTCAAACTGGAGACTTAGACTAAAGCAGGCTGAAGACTGAAAATAGACTTGTTTCATTTTTTTATTTTAAAACTCACATATGCTCTTGTAAATAAAAGTATTTGTTCAACATAAGCTGTTCTAATATGATTACTGTTACATGTTACATGGACTAGGATACAGGTTCTTCACATGCAGGTAGAAGACCTTGTCAAAGAAACCACAACTGTTCTACCCAGAGTATTCAGCACATTGAGTAATCCTAGGAAAGAGGATAAGCTAAATTTGTTTTAAAAATCAGTAACAATTGACAGCAGCCAAATAAGAGCAAGAAAAGGAATAAAGTAATGCACCTTTTTTTTTTTTTTTTTTTCTGACTGAGATTCCATTGCCAGTCTAAAAATAAGCACTGTTTTCTAAACTGCTGAAACAGCCCATAACCAGTATGTTAACCTTAGGGAACTCAGTTGGTAGCTGAGCTGTGCCAGCAGAAGAGGGAGACAATGGTGATTCCTTTCCAAGTGAGAACTCACCAGTGTTGCAAAAGACTGAAAATACAGGGTGAATTCAGTACTGCATTTGTACCTGCCCAAAGTGGTACTTGAACTCTTGTTCAAGTTTTTAATACCCGAGCATATGAAATTCTGTGGGGGTGAAGCCCTGGCTTCATGGAACACTGGCAAACTCAGACATAAGGAAATTACCTTTTTCAGGTAACAAGTGAATAGGACTTCAGGAAAGAACTGGAACTACAAGTATATTTTGTGGACTAAAGTGCTCTTTCAGGAGATACAGTAACACCAAATTCAAATGTAGCAGTTATCTGGGAGATTATTAACATGCATGCTGAAAATGTTGATCCATTTACAGTTCCTAGAGACAAAAGAATGTAAAGTGAATGAAAAACAGTCTAGGGTAACAGGACATACCTAGACCAAAGTGTCTCACTAATAAAATTTTAATTATGTACATTCAACTGTACTTGTCTGTGGGAAAAAGGTCTTCCTGAAGTGTTTGGATTTACTCTTGCTGTTTTACCACACAGGCGTGGGTAAAAATACAGAGGAACCATACTGTGGGAGACTGCTGAAAGAACTTTATCTAAAAAACCAACATGTTCCATTCTAAGGCAATGAATCTCCAAATGATCTTTAAAATGAATTTAAGTCATATTTATTTCAAAGTGGTTGACTGTCCTGCCTTGCTAAAGGAGAATCCAGGAAAAAACAAAGACAAAAGAATTCCAAACTGTAGCTGGTGTTAAAAAAATGCAAAATATTTATAAACCCTTTCTTACAGCAACATACCAACTTTTCTGAGCAAACCCACGTACCCAGCCCCAAGATATGTGCATCAGGTAATTCATGGGGAGTGCCTGGCAGGAATTTGTTCTAGGAGAACTTGTTCTAGGAGATGTACCTATGCATTGTGGAGATCTGAAAAATACTTAATGGACGGACCCTGCTCTGTGTCTGAGACTTTTTGTTCATTCATATGAGGTTCCTGTGGAGAACTGACGTCTTTCAGTCTTGAGTGACTTTTCAAGTAAAATTGGCCCTTGTGATTAGGATGAGCTGTGGGGAGGGGAAGAGTACATTAATCTGAGAACGTGCTCTTAGACCTGCTGGCTACAGGAGCTGTGGGAGCGAGCACACCCGCGCAGGTGCCACGGGTGGCTGTGTGTGGGGAGGAGAGAACAGGCTTCCTCTGCACGTCCCACTTGGTTCTGTTCTGCTAACGGGAACCTGGGCCACTGCGCCCCTGCGTGGAATGCACTGCCACTCCATGGCAGCCAATCTAGACCTTGTGAATTTGTTATGGCTGCTTCCAAAACATATGAAGAGTATCTGAAGCCCTACCTCCAATTCAGGTACACTTTGACAACTCACTTAACAAACAGTGATACAAGTGTGTAACAAGCATTCCAGCACCTCAGACAAGATGATTTTATGTGCAGACACACACTTACCTGTGGCAGGTATGGGTCCAAGCATAAAATAATACCCATAATCCTACCCCATCCAATGATTCTGGAAGAAAAAAAAATTCCCAACCCCCTTGTTCAAAGGATGCCAGAACAACCCCATGCTGCTCAGGAGAGCAGAGCAGCTTTTCTCAGCTGAGCTGATAATAGTAATTGATTGTTATGACATGAAACAAAAGACAGAAGAATAAGAACCGGCTTCATTGGAACTTGGTGTATTATTAGCAAGATAGGCCATGAATGGTGACTCTGCCCCCTTAATAAACCCCTTCTCTTCCACAGATGTAACAATTATCTGAAAGTTTGGCATCTCTAATTAACTAGAATCACACACAGTCCTTACAAATCTCCTTTTAATTGTTGCCTCTAATTCAAGTAGAAAAAGATCAGCAATTTCAGTTTTGGTTGTGAGTTTGGCTTTCTTTCTTTTTTCTTTTTTAAAGGTTTACAGATCTTGAAATAAATTCTTTGGAAAGCTGAAGCAGATGCTTCTTGCTGGTGTTATACAGAAGTCACACACAGCCAGACCAAAGTGCTCAACTTTCCAAGTTCCTTGTCCTTACAGGGAAATTTGGACAAGAGCATATCCCTTTTGAGAATTTTGTATCATATTTAACTGACCTGAACAGATCCGAGATACTTGTGCACACTGTGCTGCTTCTTTGCCTTATCAGAACTTCACTCAGAAGGATTTATGATACAAAGTACAGTATATCCCACTGTGACCTTTCCAGAAAGTGCTGCAGGAATTAATTACATCTGTTCATAATTATGCTGTTCTCAAAGATGCTGATCACAGCTTGGAAGTGGAAGCAATGCTCCTCATACGTTTTCCTAAATTTACCAACTGCCCAACTGATCTTCAGTAACAGGAAAAAATGGGAGAAAAGCAAATTTGCTGAAGGTGACAGGGAAAAGGAGAGCTCCACACTGAGATGGCTCACACTGATTTGTGATAAAAAGGCACAAGGATGTTATCTCAGCTCCTGTGGCAGCTGATGGGGGACAAAGGAGAGAATTTAGCCTTGAGGAGCTTTGTTTTAAACTGCAATTCAAAAGCTTGTTGAAATCAACTGGAAGTATTTCTCTGTACTGATGATATATATTGGACATGGAGAGATAGATTTCACATGATTTCTCTCCATCATGTATTGAAGTTTGACCACTTCAGCATGCATTGCAGGCAAGTATTTGCTTTTGTCAGACTTCAGAAAAAATGCACATGTGTGAAAGGTCATGAAACTTCAATTGCCAATGCATACTGGTTTTTGTGATTTGTCACCATTTTAGAACAGTATCCAGTTTTGTGTTCTTTTTATACTTGAAAAATGCAGTTATGTGACATGTACATCCTCACCTATAATGAAGTTTAACCTGAATGCTCTGAGAACATGTGCAGACACACAAAATGCACTGCCAGGCACAGAGGGCAATATTAAAGCCTGAACTAGTACAGGACAGGGGTAGACAACCATTTGAGAGATTTATTATCAGTATTATTTTCTGACACATAGTACAGAAGCAAAATGTTTGCCTAACCTCATGAAAATTTTCACAATTCCACAGTGCAAAAGTTGGGTGACACAAAGTGGAATTGAAAGGGAAAATTATGAGACTCCCAAAAGCACAGAATTTTAACATCAGGTGTTCCTTATTTTGACATCAATACAATTCTGGGAAAAAATAACATGTTTTTCAGTAATAAAGCTCCTGAATAATTGTATCCTCAGAAATAAGCTGTTTGAATTTACTGGTATGGGAAACATAGCACTATCGTGTAACACATCATGCTTTTTAATTAGGATTGCAATAAAAATAACCATGCTGAGTTGTGAAAAGAACATTTGCACTTCTGCACTGTAACTTGACTCTTTTTTAAGGTTTTGAGGGAGTTCATCTCCCATATGAGCCTTGTAGACATGAATGGGCCTGGGCATCAACTTGCTGCTGAAAAGCATCAGGCTTTGGGAACTAAGGCAACTCGAGGAATCTCTGCAGCTGGACCACTAGAGTACTGTTCAATATAAATTCTGCATTTTCTTCTTGGACTTGTACTGAAGCAGGATAAAGAACAGGAGAATCTGCAACTCAGTGACACCACTCCCTCTGATCTGCCTTTCCTAACAAAACCAACATCCCAAGCAGACAAATATAAGAAAAGTTTCCCTACAGTCAGAACAACAGCATAAGAGCAAGAAACAGGAAAGCAATGAGAATGTAAGCTTAGTTCATCCACCTTAATTTTTATCTGTGTTCCTTCTGAAGTTCATGAAAAAATCACCACAAAGATGTTTTTTCATTTCAAAATTCCATTTCTGTGATTAACTAAAACTCTCAGTTGCTTCAGATCACACTGGCAAGTACTGGAGTGTTACTCTTGCATGCTAAGGATAATGACTGAGCAGCCTTGACTTAGGTTACCACTCTCCCACACACAGGTCTAAATCTCACTGTTTTCATCTCCAGACACCAGGAACAGCTTTTCTCTGCTAACAGCCCCACTTTGTCTCAACACAACCAGATAAAAAAGCTCCCATAAAAAGCACAGTCCTTAGAACACAGGCCTGAGCTGAAGCCAACATGGCACCGTCATTCCAGGCGATAGCAAATTAAATGATAAAATATAGTATCAAAATAGCTATTGAAAAATCAAACTTGATAGAACAGAAGTTTAAACTGTGGTTTTAATCAATGCTTGTATCAGATAACTGTACACCAAATATTAAAGGACTATTTAGGACTAACGCCCTCATCAGTAGGCTCATCTATCAGCATGACCAGAACAAGAGAAGATCAATGTTTAGCTGGCACTCAAGTACAGCACGGCTTCAAAGCAGAGATCATATCAGCATCAAAGCACAGAGAAAAACAGTGGTTAGAATATAATACACTAAATTTGCAATGTCGGTATCCCTGATGATTCTAACAGAAACAGCAACCTAAATATTGTGAAGTTAATCACTGCTTCTGAACAGAACACAAAATCACTTTTTTTTAAGGAAAATGAAATGAGTGACTGATGGGAATAAGTTCCCCAAATATTCCCACATATGCTGCAAATTCAGTGGGATCTGCACAAAAGATCAGTAACTTCTATACAATTTTAAAGTGCATTTTATCTGTTTATGAAAGTAATAAAATATCAGCTGAACACAGTGAATCATAATCAAATCAAACATTCTTGACAGTCATTCACAGCAAAGCACAAAGCAGTGAAAATTTGTCCTTCCCATTTCCAGCTTGGATACATCCTGGTAAGGTACAGGCACTGCCTAAACACAAGGCTCTCTACGTACCTGACCACTACAAGAAAATAAATAAAATGACACTTGAGAAGCTTGAGGAGCTCTTTGATCTCTTGATCAGAATCAGTACAGCTTTCAGCCTAGCAGGGTCACATGGCAGTGTACTATCTCACAACAGTTCATTTTGCCAATGAACAAGGAAAAATCATGGATTTATTTTGGTCAAGTCAGCATCTTAACTACATGCAGATATTAGAAAACAGTCATTTTGACAAATGAACACCAATTTTGTGTTTCTTGGAAGACTTACTCAATTTTCCAAATCTGTCATGTTCAGGTCTCTTTCACGGTACTCTTATTATTTCAGATTTCCATTTCCTACATCTTTTGCAATTCCAACTTATTTACTGTGCACATGTATATCCACTTAAAAATCAACTTTATTTATCGCCAAGGAATTATTTCACAGATGAAGAATTAAATCACCCTCTAAAATAATACTTTATTTCTAATACTAGATAGAATTAATATTTCAGTTAAAGTAGTATTGAAATATTCACTATAGTAACAAGGAAGGGAAAATCTGTATGCCAGCAGTACCTGTAATGAAAATGTTCTTTCAGAGTCAATTTTCAGGTATTTGGAGGGCTGGGGGTGACACAACACTGAATAACACTTGTATGTAACACATGAAGTCAGTTGCCAGTGAAATGCAAAAGATTCAGTAATATTAAAAGTAGCTACTCC